AGCCTAAGACATCTTGTTGGGCCAGAAAGCAAGGAAACATTCAAAGACCAATGCAGTGCTGTCAAAAAGATTCAGAAGTCTTGAAGATAATTGGTAATTTAAACTTACTGAATAAAACAAAATCCATGAATCCATAGTGACGATAGAAAGACAGACAGAGAGAGAGAGAGAGAGAGAGAGAGAGAGAGAGAGATTTTGTGTGTATAGGGAGAAAGCCAGAAAGCCTGTTTTTATAGAAGAATGATGCCAGGTCATGAGTGTAGAAGGAATGATAGAATCGAAAATCACAATTTTGCAGTCCCCAATGTAGTAACTGATTCAGACAACAATCATCAATGGGTGCCAAAAACATTGAGTAAAATGTAATTGATGATGCCAAAGTGTCACCCCATGGATGAAAATGGAGAGATGTGCTAGTCATCTTTTTAAACAAGTGTCTGACAGTGTACCTGACCTTATGTCTCTCCTAATATGACATAATAAGAACACAACTCCTGTAACTACCCTTGCACATAAACAAAACACTGAATCCAATCAAGGCATTAGACCCAGCTTCTACTGTACAGAAGATATAAAGAGGAACCAGTTAACATGAAGAAACAATCAGACAAATCCAGAACATATGATACTCTAGTCCAAGCTCTTCAAAAACATCATTAGAAAAAAGATGGAGGGACTGTTCTGAATTAAAAGTAGTCAAAGAGACATGCCATAACCAAATGCAATGAGTGAATCTTGATTGGCTCCTAGAATGGGGGTAAAATAGCTATAAAAGACATTCTTGAAACAACTTGGAAAACTTGATATAGGCTGAAAATTGGATAAATGTTATAAAATTGTTAATTTTGCTAGATTTTACGTTTCATGGTTTGTTGAAGAATGTCATTGTTCTTACAGATGCATGCTTAAGTATTTTAAGGCAAAGTATGAGTACCCCACAAATTCAAAAACTACAATTTTTTAATTGTGGCACAATTAAAAAACTACATATTGGGGCTAGCTGGTTAGCTCAGTTGGTTACAGCAGTGTTGCTAACACCAAGGTCAAGGGTTCAGGTCTGCATACAAGCCAGCTGCCAAAACAAACAAAAAAACACTATATATAAATATATAAAGTTAATGAGGCAACGTGATCTGGTGACTCTAGGTGAAGGCTATATACGTGTTCATCGTATTATTCTTTATTTGCATTTTTTAACAAAAAATTGATTGAAAGTAAGTATGGAAATTCTACATAAGAAAAAAGTGAGTTCTTTGGATTCTTCATAGTCACTGAGGAAATAAGCAATGATTAGAATAAAGCTGACCACTTTTAAATTTTACATTTTGGATTCAATTGTTTCTGAACTTTGTAAAACATGCAAAATGCTTATGTCATAAACTAAAATAGAAAATATCAGGATCTTGGGAGAGGGAGGAGGGAGGGAGGTTTTGGTGATGGGCTACAACAACCAACCACATTGTATATTGACAAAATAAAATAAAACTTAAAAAAAGAAAATACTAGTATCTAAAATTGCTTACATAGGGCTGGCCAGTTAGCTCAGTTGGTTAGAGCACAGCCTTTTAGCACTAAGGTCATGAGTTCGGATTCCCATATCGGCCAGCCACCAAAAAATAAAGTAAAATTGCTTAAATGTACATTATTTTAACTATCTGAAAATTTACATTTTTATACATTTTTTAAAAATCTGGTTTTTTGAATTTCCCATGCATACTGTATTCAAGTATTACTTCTTTTTTTCTTTAAAAGATGAGTGGTAAGGGGATCTTAACCCTTGACTTGGTGTCAGCACCATGCTCTCCCAAGTGAGCCACGGGCTGGCCCTCAAGTATAACTTCTATAATGGAATAATACGAAATGTTAACATCTTATCCTTCTACTTCAAATAACCATGCTTCTAATTAGGTGTAACTGTAGGTTTTCAATAGGATAAAATAATGCCATTAAAATAAAAGGTTGAGGGCCGGCCCGGTGGCGCACTCGGTAGAGTGCGGCGCTTGGGAGCGCCGCGGCGCTCCCGCCGAGGGTTCGGATCCCATATAGAGAGGGTTCGGATCCCATATAGAGACCGGCCCGCTCACTGGTTGAGCGCGGTGCGGGCGCGACACTGAGGATTGCGATCCCGTTACCAGCCATGAAAAAAGACAAAAAGGAAAAAAATAAATAAAAGGTTGACACCAAAATTAACATAAAATGGACCATGGATCTAATAAATGCTAAAACTACAAAATTCCTAGAAGAAAACATGATAGGAGAAAGTCTTTGCAAATTTGTCACAGGCAAAAATGTCTAAGGACACAAAAACCACAAACCACAAAAGAAAACACTGATAAATTGGGCTTCATCAAAATTCAAAACTTTTGTTCTTCCAAATACCCTGTTAAAAAAAATAAATAAATAAATAAATAAATAAATAAATAAATAAATAAATAAATAAATAAATAAATAAATAAATAAATAAATAAATAAATAAATAAATAAATAAATAAATAAATAAATAAATAAATAAATAAATAAATAAATAAATAAATAAATAAATAAATAAATAAATAAATAAATAAATAAATAAATAAATAAATAAATAAATAAATAAATAAATAAATAAATAAATAAATAAATAAATAAATAAATAAATAAATAAATAAATAAATAAATAAATAAATAAATAAATAAATAAATAAATAAATAAATAAATAAATAAATAAATAAATAAATAAATAAATAAATAAATAAATAAATAAATAAATAAATAAATAAATAAATAAAAAGGCAAGTCACAGACTAGGAGAAAATATTAGTAGTACAAATAGAAGACTGGTATTTACCCACCTCCCATCTGGACTACTTCAACAACCTCCTCTCTAGTCTTCCAGCTTCTGCTCTGGACCTGCAATCTATTCTCCATATGACAGCCAGACCGATCTTTAAAATATAAAAATTAGGTCACATTGTTTGCCTACTTAAAATCCTTCCATGGCTTCCCACAATAAAAGGAATTAAATCTACACTTCTTTCTTTGGCAAAAAGCCTTCATGCCCATCTGTATAGTGGCATTTTCTATCTCCTGCCCCCTACTCACACACTATGCCCTGGCTATACCGGCCACCTTCCTGTTTTGTTCATATTAAAAGCTCATTCCTGACAAAGGCCTTTGTACTTGCTGCTCCCTCTGCCAGAGATATTCTTCTCCTGCATGGCTGACTAGCATTCTCCTTGTCACAGCTCAGATGTCACCTTCTCACTGAGACATTCCTTGACATACCCCCTTTAGTTACCCTAGCACTACATTCTATTTTCTTCACCACCCTACCTGAACTTAGTTACCTGTTTGTTTAGTCTGTCTCCCCCACAAAAGGTAAGATCATATGAGCTAAAGAACCTTCTGTTTTGTCCACTGGTATATGTGCTCAGCATATAGTGCTTGGAACATAGTATGACTCACCGCATACCTACTATGTCCCAGGCACTGTGCTCAGTACTTACTGGCTTAATGGTTTAAATGTGTTGTTCAAAGACTTCTTCCATCTTATTACCACCTCCCTTTAGAAAAAAATATTTTATATTCCTAGATCCACTTAAATAGCTGAATACTTCTTAGTATTCTTAAGACGCCAATTCACTTTCAAGTAAATTACAAAATCTAGATTTCATCTATACATAGGATCAGTGCTTTGGCTTAAATGAAAATGTTCATGATATTTTGAGCAACTCGCCCTCATGAGAATGACTAAAACAAAAGAAACCAAAAAAGAAGTATTAGTGAGGATGTAAGGCAACTAGAACCCTCATATATTGCTGATGAGTGTAAATTAATTTAACTACATTGGGAGACAGTTTAGTGGTATCTAATAAAGTGAAACATATGTATACCATATGACCTAGTAATTCCATACATATATATTCAAAGAAAATGCATGCATATGTTCACAAAAGATATGGACAAAAATATTCATAGCAGCACTATTCACAATAGCCAAAAAGTGGAAACTATTAAAGTGCCTATCAACAAAATAAATTGTGGTATACATACACAAAGGAACACTAATATAGCAGTGAGTATAAATGAACAACTGCACACAATAACATGGATATCTCTTACAAATAAAATGTTGAATGAAAGAAGCCAAATGTCAAAGCGTGCATACGTTATATACTTCAATTTAAAAGATTCAAAATATGTGTTCTTACCACTGTGTTCTGGTGGAGTCCTCTCCCAAAAATTCCTACTGATGTTCCTCTAAAGTTAGATCCTTAGATATGAGATGGTATTTGAGGAAACAATTTAAATTAGCCTACTACAATTATACACTTACAATGTCTCATGTTTTATATCTTAAAAATGCACGTGAATTCCCTTTTCTTCATTGATGCATATTGAACAGAAATATTTCCATCAACAAATATTCAAGAAAACCTAATATTCAAGGGAAATGAGCTATGGTTATCCGCTGGTTACAGGTACTTCTGGCACACTGCCTAAGTCTTGGGTTTAAAAAGAACTGGTGAGTTGAAATAAAATAAAAATAAAAGAAGAACTGGTGGGAAAGTAGTTATAATGGAAAGTACATTAGTTATGGTTAGATAGTTTCATATTTCAGATTCATACTCACTAACAGTATGACTTTGGGGCCGGCCCATGGCTCACTCAGGAAAGTGTGGTGCTGATAACACCAAGGCCACAGGTTCGGATCCCATATAGGGATGGCCAGTTAGCTCACTGGGTGAGTGTGGTGCTGACAACACCAAGTCAAGAGTTAAGATTCCCTTACCAGTCATCTTTAAAAAAAAAAAAAAAAAAAAAATGTGACTTTGGGCAAGTTACCTGAATATTTTGTGCCTATGACCTCATTCATATAACAAAGATAATAATACCTATCTCACAAGGTGGCTTTAAGAGACAAATGAGATGACATAAGTTAGGTACTCAAGACTATTAACCTTTCCCTTCCCTACCCTGAAGGCAGTACTGGTGGTGAAAAAAAAAAGTCAACAGGCTGTTTGCTGCAATATATATATTTTAATTCAAAGTGAATCGACAGTAATACACCATAAATTCTTATTTTGACACTCACCAAAATAGTCACCTGGAAAACCCGCTTTTTGTGACAAAGTACAGAAGGCTTGGTCACATTTAAATCACTGAGAACTAGAGAGAAATACTATCGCAAACCGTAATAGACATTACATCCATAAAAATTTTCCCAGTCCTTATTGTAATATTGCACAGTGCAATTGCTACATGGCAAACTAGTGTAGCATAGAAATAAAAGCAAAAACAAACCAAAGAAAGAAAGCCACAAGTCTAAAATTGTTAAATAGTTGACAGTTCGAACTTAGTAATCAAATCTATATCATTGGGTTCATTAAAACAAATCTTCCTACACCTTGCAGTGTATGATTTAACTTTTACTTAAAACAAACCAAGTTTAATATTAGCAATAGGTATTTAAAAAATGAAAAGGTTTTGCTAATACAGTAACATATTTAATTAAACACCCTGAAGGAAAGAAAAAACAACTAAATATCACTTTATTTGACAAAAAATAATTTGCAAATTAAAATAGTATGCAAATACGCAACTTGGAAATTATGCAGTGTTTTATTTAAGAAAGCATTAAAACCAAAGAAAACTAGTAAAAATTGTTTTAAAGAGGGTTTAAAAAAAACCCAGATTTTTGTCAATATGCTAAATTTAGACTTCAGCAGAATTTTGAATTTATTTTTAAACACATTAAAAAGCCCATGATTGCAATTAATTAAAAGCAGTGAACTGGGATATGCCTTTACCAAACATTACTACCGTAATATGAAAATGCTGAAGTTTATCATTTACTGTCAATTTGACAAGACTACCTCAGTCTTCAAACTTATATACAGAAAATACAACATTTCAGGGTAGTAAACATGGCCCTGAACAAAAAAAAAACGCGCTAGTTTGTACCTGTTGTGATACAATCAATCTTTACACTTGGTGTTTCTGAAACATCCATTGCCAGCATTGATTCTTTTCCAAGAAGTGAGCAGATACCAATAATCTGCTGGACCATATAAATAAAATTAGAAGGCTGTGGAGGGCAGCAAATTTACTTAAATAGTGACTCCATAAATTTGTCATCTGTAAATAATCTTTTAAATTAATCTTAGGCTACTCCTTTTGTATGTGTATTATATATATATATATATTTCTATTTATATAAAATGCATAGAATTGATTACTAAAAACACTGAAACTTGTGGGGAAAATTAAGTCCTTCATTTTCAGTGTGACTAAAAATGTACTGCTGGTTTTTATTTTATGATCTAATACTGTAATTTTTAAAATCAATTTCAGGCACATTTATTTCACTGATGATCATTAAATAAAACACTGCTTGTGTTAATGGAGTAAAGAAAAGTTTATCCATTATTAGCTTATTGTCAACACTGTATTAGAGCTGTACTAGTGGTATGCAATTCATTTATCAAAGAAACGCTGTAAATCCAAAACATTTGGAGAGTTTTACACTCAAATGCTTTGTACTGTTTATTCCAGTAAATGCTATAAGATTATATTCCAGATTTTTAAGGAAAAAAAGTTAAGTCAAGCCTGCAAGATACAGCTTTCTCAAGTGTCTACAATGCCAGTATGAAAATAAAAAAATTAAGTTACATTGATACATCCAAGTTTTTTTATATGCAGTGATGAGCACAAACATTAATAGAGATAAAATACTGATGCAAATAACACACCCCAAAATAACATATGCAATTATTTTCCATCATTTACAATACAGTAGTTACAATGACACTCCAAACAGAAAAGCAAAGTAAAAAATCAAAACCCCAACTTCTATTTCATGTAATTTGACTTATACAGAAATTAGAAGGCTAAATAACAACTAGTTAATCACCTAATTTCACAGCTATCTGAAGTGGCAATCGTTATATAGCAGCTTATCTATGATACATTCAAGATAAATGATACAATTTATTACTTGCCTGTAAGCTAAAACACAGCCTCTGTTTAATACCTTTCCTTAAATTCCACCTCTATTCTACAATATACTTGAGGTCTATGCAAAAAGTAGCTACCTTTTATATACGAAATTGATGATTAAGTCTTTGGTGCTGTAAAAGCAACTTCATTTAAACATAACCACCACCACCACCAAAAAAAGAAGAAAAAATAAAGGAAGGAAAAAACCAAGACACACTTCCAAGGAAAAAAAGCATGTAATTTCTGTCCCTGACGGAATGTATTAAATAAGCAAACACCACCAACAAGCAAAACAAGAACTACAATGTAAAAATACTTTTAAAAAACCCCAAAAAACAAAAAAAACCCTTTTAACATGCATAAATGAAAAATTGCACACAAAGAACTCACATCTTTTCAAGCTTCAATAGTAAATATTCTGCTACTACTTATTAAATACTGCATGGTTTGCCCAAGCTAAGATGAAACCACATCATGAATCAATGAGCATTTTGCATTTTCTTTCATTATCTACTCAAAGTCATGCCTACTGTACCTCTAAACATTTTAAGTCCAATTATACGGCAAACACTCCCAAAATAAACTTAGATTGTATTGCAGTTTCACTTAACAGTATATAAAATGCTGTGCTGTGACAGTTATCAACTATCCATTAGATACTGAATCAATTTTTCTTAAGCACTACTAACTGCTTGCTTTTCTTGAAGCTAGATCATTCTGAAAAATCAGACAGCAGAATTCAGCTACAGCAAACATGCTGCCCTCTTAATAAGGAAAAAACAGCTACTACCTGAAATCATACCACACAAAACTAGAAATGAACATTACTCTATCAAAAGAAAACTAAAGAGTAGGTCTGAATTTAAGTGCTGCAGTCCTCAACATTTATATATAGGTAATAACATTAACAACCTCAAATATTTAAGGCACTATGTGTGGGAACGGTTTACAATGCAGCTGAGATTATTAGAACAACATTTAAGAGCAAAGTCTAGGCAACATTTTGCCCATGCAAAAGACACATGCAAATGTAAAGAACAATAGCTCAATTTCTTAGGTAAGTGACCAACATTTATACACTAAGACACAGATAATACAATTCACTTGTATGCTGTAATTCTGACATATGTGCATCTGTTGCTCTAAGTCTGTATACAGAATGGCTTCCCAAATGTGGACGTGTCTTGCACTAGTTAGAAGGCAATTTATAAAAAATAGCAGGAGCAAAACTGGACTTCTGCCCCCATAAGTCACCTGTCTAGAGTTACTACATAAGAAGATAACATGACCAAAGACAAGTTATACCAAATGTGCAAAACACATCAAAAGTGAGTTTTTTTAAAGCTCAAAGTTGTTTAAATTGCACCCAAGTCTACATGATTCAAAAATAATTTTCTTGTGCCATGGCTAATATTTATTAAATACCATGTTTTTATTTTTAATCAAATGTTTGTATCATTGAGCTTCCTCAATATACTGTTTTTGAGTTTTCACATATATGGATACTGGCTGAGTTTTGTTGGACTCAATGGAAATCCAGTATATGCAGGTGATGCTGCAATGTAAGAATGTGGTGGGAAGATTGGTTTGTACTGAGTCTGATGAATGGTTGGGGATGGTAATAGACGGGGATTTATGCCCACTGGAACTTGGTGAACTATGCCACTGGGATGGGAGATATTATAAGTTGGATGCTGTAACATAGGTCTTGAGGTACATGGAGAGGCTAAGAGGTGGGCCACTGGTGCAGCATTACTGAAGGTAGCTGATGATGGGTATGAAAGTAGAGTAGGCTGTCCTCCAAGGTGCGTGCTTCCGGACAGATGGGCATGCACTGCTGTGTGATTGGGACTTCCATGAGAGAGAGTGAATGGATTACTTGTAACACCAGCAGGGATATAAGCTTGCTGTCTTCGATGCCCAAAGTTTCCATTCCACTCTTGATGCCCAGATCCAAAGTGCTGAACCTATCCACACACACAAAAAATGATTGAATAACATATTTTATAAGATAAAAGGAAAGAAAGAAAGGGATATTACAATATACTTTCTGTGATTGATAACTCATAGTGGATCCCTCAGGACTAGCTTATACTAAGTAGAGGAGAGAAAAATACCGATTTTATATATATTAGTACTAACATTTTAATATTTATTACCACATATTATTATAATATTAACACTGCCACTACTATTGCTAACGCTATCCCCATCACTATTAATAATTACCTTTTGTGGAGCACTTATATGTAAAGCTAACACCTTACAAACATGACATTATTTAATTCCAAAGCAACCCCCTGATACAATATTATTCCCATTAACTGTGCTCCAGATTTGTTGAAGAGACCTTGCCAAGGTATTATACAGTATATAGCAAATACTTTGCTCTTAAATGTAGTATTCAAATCCAGGTCTGACTCCATTCCTGTGATCTTTTCTTTCCCCAACTGAAGTACAATTGCCAAGCACAGTGTTGAACAGATCGAAAGAACTCATCAGGTTAGATGATTGCTACTACTAACACATAAGAAATGTAGCCATCGTTCCACTAGTGTACATTCTGCTTTAAAGGGTCTGAGACAACAAATACACTAAAAAGTTATCTGAGGGAATCTAAGAGCTTAATCTTTCTAAATAAGAATACAAATTCTATGAGTAATTAGCTTAATTATCCTATTACTAGGCTAGTACTCTTTAGTCACTTGCAATAATGAAAAGGGAAAAATTTATTAAGACTGCATCTGCTTTCAGAATCTTTCTCCCCTCAAGTGCGAAAAAACAAAACAAACAAAAACATTAAATATGAATCCCAAAGGCTCATACAAATACACTAATAAACATACCTGACTGAAATTCAAATGCTGCTGCTGGAATGCTGATGTCAATTTTTGCTGACGATTACCCACTGCAGAAGGCTGGTTTAATCTTCCAGGGGCAGATCGTCCTTTTATTAATGGCTGGCATATAGAATCTAGCAACAAACACAATATTAGAGAGTTGATGGTTTTTTTCCATCTCTAATAAAAATTAGAAAGGTCTTTAGATATTTTACACAATAGTGATTTGAGAACCTTAAAATTAAATAAAAAGAGAGCTCGTGGTTCCCAAGCACTGGATGATATTAGAAGAGATTTCTTCTGTATAATAGATATGGCAGGGCGAGTTAGAAATTCAGAGATGACTTTTGGCAGTCCTGTTCTCTGGTGTTCCTAATTAAGTCCCTTCAAAGGATAATCAGGGAAATAGGAGGTCTCAGTTTACCTCTGTTTGCCATATGCTCATCGGCATTTAATCCATTTTCTAGTCCCATTGGTGGCACCACAACCGTACAAACAGCTGGCTTGGTTTCTGTGTCAGCTGAGGTTATCAGTTCTGTGTTTTGATGAGTGTCTTCCACATAACTACTGTCTGCAAATGGACTGTCATGCCCTGAAGAGTCTGATGTTGGAGAGCCATCCACAGTATCACAACCACTTTCCTGCTCTTCATCTGACATACTACAACAAGAAAGCATTTTTATGAATGACATTTTTTCCAACTTTAAATCTAAAGTAATATCCAGACTCCAGCAAACTGATAAGAATCTTATTCAGTTACTTTATTTATAATTACACCTTCTTTGTCCAGTAGCATTTTTTTCACAGAATTTCCAGGCCTCAAATTAATTCTCTATTCAAACTACTAAATTTAATCCTTTCCCATTTCAAGAATATCACTTAATTTTTCTCTTTTCTCTTCCCACTTGATCCTTAGCAGCAATTCATAAAATTCCTCTCTAAAAATTCCAATAATTTCATCAAGAGATGAAAAAAGAAGCATGGCTCTGGATAATTTAAATGAAATGCACAAACATACAAAAGCATGTGACTTGAATATTACAAATTAAATTCAAATGTTCGGATATATGCCTTTCACAGTACATATAGCATATGGGTCCTATTAACTAACCAGGTATCCCCCACTTCTCTGAAGTCCTAGCCATAGTCCCATATTTCTCTTTTCTTCCTGACCCTTTCAGGCCCTGACAATCTCTCTCTCCTTGGGATTTCTACAGTATTTATTGGCTGTTTTAATCTCTCTTTTCATATTTAGCAATTTGAAGCATCTTTTTTAATACTTACATTTTATTTTTATTTATATATCTTATATGTACATACGTATATACATATTTTATATCTGTGTGTGTATTTATGTATGTGTACATATATATCAACTTTCAGACCACATTCTAAGCAACTTATAAAAAGAGAATTATCAAAACTTCTTTATTTCTTTCACAGAGCTTTGGCTATACATATTTGATACTATATTTCCTAACTAAGCAAAAAGAGAAAACAAATGTATAAAATTAAGACAATTTTTTCAAATGTTGTTGCTTACTAAAAAAAAGAATTTCCACAAGCTGAAATCAAATGAATTTCACAGAAATTTCTGTGGCTTATCTCTTAATGTGTTAGTACATCACGTGGGTTAGAAGCTTGCTATTTTAGTGGCAGTACATGTCCCTAGCCAAAAGGAAGGCTGGGCAAAGAAATATGGAGGAAACCATGCAAATCAGACACCAATGGGAGAAAATATCATAGTGGATACTCTATAGACAGTGGGCCAATCAGCACTTCATTATGCAAAACAGTCCTTTTTTATTTTGCTAAATTGTATGTTTTTATTCCAAATTTAAGTTATAACAGTAGTCTGTGGAACTAAAGTTGAGAATGTAGTTTTTTTATCCTTTCAGAAACAGATGATTCTTTAAATATCATTATTAGAACCTCAAATCTTCATTTAAAGCTGTTTGATATCAGTAAAGAACATGACTACTAAAAATCTGAGTTTATAAAAAGTGATCTAGTTCAAAAATTGTGTTCAAGACAAAAGTCACTGTGGTAAACTGGCTGGTACTTATTAATTTAAAAAACAACAAAAAGAAATGACAGAATTTCTAGTAGACTTAGTATTTATTATATACTACTGTTGAAATTCTTTTACCTGCTTGGTCTCTTGCAAGGGGATGGGCTGGACTGCCCTGAGGAGCTGGTGCTCAGAGTACTATCAGGACTACTTAATGAACACATCCGATCAATATTCAAAGTGCTCTGGCAAGCTTCACAATCTAGACTACCTTTACATCTAGTGGAAGAGGGAAGGGAAAAACATGGGTCAAAAATGAGAAGATATTCTCCAAATAGCCAAAATTTACATTTTTAATTAAGGATATGAAACAGTTAAGAATAATCTACATTGACAAAAATGAAAAGCTTATAAATTCAGGGGAAATGCTATAATAATCATGCTAAATACTATTCAGGAAGTTCCCTCTATCTAGAACCTGATTATCTAATTTGAAGGTTTTACTTCAAAGGACATTGACAGACAAGGAATGTCACAGGAAGTTGTTTTTCAGCACACCAGAGGGCGCCTTCATTATTCTTTAAGGATGCAGCATTCAACAACTTACTCTCTGAGTGAATGTCTCTGTGATGACGACTCTTCCTCATCAGTGTCACTGCTGATAGTTATCACACTCACTGCAGGACTCGGGGAGTCAGCAATGATGATGGTTTGCCGCTGTTTGTCTGAAACTGATGAATCAGAGTCCTGTCTGATAGATGTTTCACAGCAACTTCTTGCCTCTCCTTCTGCATTATGATTGTCCCGTGTGTCTATACAGCTTACTTCCTCAACATCTTTTCCATTTATTATCTTTGGAGAAATAAATGCTGAATGTGGGATATTGGTATTCTGCAATGAATTACTCCTGCAACCAAAGAAATAATTTGTAATTTCTATAAGCAAAATATGTACATAATATTTTTCTAAGTTATATTGTTAAACCGAACAATGGGAACCTTCACTTGTTTAAGTTCATGTATATAAACACTAACATACAGATCATGAGTTTTTGTGAAATATAAAATATTATCTCTAGAAATATCAGTGTATATTGCATTTAAATACATTTAAGTCGTTGTTTTGGTAAATGTGATATGTGAGTGTCTACAATTGCTACATTATAGATAGACAACAAATCAAAAGGGCAATAAAAACAATCTTACCAACTGAAAGTATTTATTTCCTCTCTTCCTGGCTCCCATTCCATTAGTTTTACCAAAATACCTCTGAGAAATTGAGAAGGGAGCTAGCTTAGTGTTTGTTACAAAGCTATCAAAGAGGTCATTTTGAATACAAAAGAGTGACCCTTTAGTGTACATGCAAAATTCACTTTAAAGATTAATTCTCAAAATGCAAAAAAAAGTTAAAACACCAATACCAACCTGTTCTGGCACAGTTTATTTTTCTTCGTAGTGGCAGGCTGAGGCCAGACAACATGTGCAATGCCCACACTAATTGGCTGAGGGGCCGATAAAGTTATCTGATTGGTTAGAAGAGGTTGTGGCATCACTGAGTTATAATGATTGCTGTGTGAAATCAATTTCCTAGGGAAAAAATTCAGAAAAATTGAATCCTTTCCTTATCAAGATCTACTCTGCAAACTATTCACGAAGAAGTATTTTTGTTTTTAACTTACCCCCAGTCTCCAAATCTTTGTGAACCAGCCACACCCTCAGAAGTTAGTGTAGTAGCAGCAGGAGCCATGGGTGTTACCTGTTGCCAAGTAGGTACCAGCATCTGCTGTGTTCTACCAGACCATGTCTGCTGCATCAAAATAAAACAAAACAAAAACTAATAAGTAATTCAACTTTACTACATCTGAAACTCAGAACTATATTAAAGGAACAACTAAACTAACAACTATAAAAGTTCAAGTCAATAACCTATGTAAAAGATTGAATTCCCATCCAGGTCATTTTCATTTTTTCCCTACAGCACAGGCTGATATACTACGAATGGATCAGCACCTCTATTTATGTGTAAGCAAGACAGCAAACATGCAAAAATAACGAATTATTACCAACCTGAGAAAGAACTCCTGGTCGGATCTGTAGTGGCTGCACAGCGGGGGCCTGAGTTACAAGTGGAACTGTACTATCTACCCTTATAGAATAACTAGTGGGTTTACCATGCGTTGCAGGAATACCTGTGAAATAGAACAGTTATTAAACAAAAGAAAAAATTTTTTCTCTGATTTAACTTATAAATTTATTTTTAATGTGCTTAAATTCTGACTGGGATTACAAAACCATTCCCTACATAAAATTTTCATAACACTAACAAAGCAATCTACTTAGAAAGCGAGGTACTTCCTATCTACCTTGTAGTACATCATTCCAAAAATTGTTATAAAGCTACTCTTTCTGTTTTAAAATGCATACAAGTTGAACCATTTATTTTCCTTGAGACCTTTCACTTCCTTTTAAAGTTTACTATTGTAATTTTATTTTCCTTTTCAAATAGGTCTGCCACTATGATAAAGGACATGGAAAGGTGAACCTGGCTCAACATCCTGATAATCTACCAGGCAAATGTTCTGCTATTCATACAAACTTTAAGCTATGCTTACTATTTTCTTATTTTAAACTGTGATAGGATCTTACACACTTGTCAGCAAAAGGGGAATGCATCACACCTTCACAATTCAATGGACATGATGGTTTACATAATAGACAAAAATTCAGAGGTGGCACATTCACTTCAATCCTTGAAGGAAAAGCAAATAATAGCCTATTCTGCCTAATTTGATGACTTAACTAAGCTTTGCCCAATGTGGCTTAATCAACTAGTATTCCTGGGATGCTGCTGAAACTCCAGAACAAAAATGTTACCATCCTGCTTACCCACTAGGAAAATTAGAAAGCAGGATTACCAACCACGCTGGTAACTGTTAATGTGAATATTTCTGTTTCATATATTACAAAGCACCTTGCAAATACAAGTCTTACAGTATTAAACTTTTAGACAGCAACATTTAATCACATCCCAACTGGAGCTTTGATTAACCAGATTTTAGTAACATCCCCTAAAATCACAAAGCTCATTTACTAGAATAAATTTACTACTTCATAATTCCAGTCTATTTTAGCAATTACTTTCAAAATGGGGGGCTGGCAGATTATTTCAACATAATACAATCAGTTTTGGGATAAAAGTGATGTTTTTGGTCGTAAGAGAAAGATACTACAATTGTTTTCTTTTACTACTGAAAAACAACATTAAAATTTTTATTGCACAAATATATGTGTTAACCTTAAAGAGAATATTAATTTTTGTTCTGATTATTTTCTTCACAGAGACTTTTATCTTACTGCCAGGGTGTTCTTCTACACTCTGTGCTTCACCTGAAGAGCTAGGTATGAATTAAGTTTAACAAAAATCTACAGATTTTTTTTTAAAAACTGATCTTCTTACCCCTTCCAAAAAGCATGTCTTGATCAGCAAATTCTCCAAGAAATGGACTATAGTAGAGAGCACACCCAGGCAGTGTAGATATATTGCAGCAATAGACAATCTCTTCAAGAAAAAAAGCAGAATCCACTTTGACAAGGATGAAAAGACAAAGCGAATTCTCAAATCCAAACAAAAAATCACATTGCCCTTAAATTCTCTCCATAACCAATGCCTTAAGATGAGAATAATTCTCCTATATCTTTCTTCTCTCCTCATGAGATCTAATTTTTAATCAAATTCAACAGTGGGTTACAATTCCAAGTTTTTATATAGTTATTAGGTTAGCTGAAATTTTATCTTTGTTTGATTAGATTTGTTTTAATACTTGGAGAGCTGGGCACAAAAAGCTTATGAAGATTGTTTTAGTTCCAACAGAGGAGAATTTTGCTGAAATGTATTTGATTCTAAAAATAATAGTTTTCATCCAGAGAGGACGAATAACTAACTTTTCAGGTTGCTAAATAATTTTAAATGCTTGTTTAATATATAGAACTTACTCTCAGATTTTTTTAGTAAAAGCCTGACAAGTTTTCTGTACCAAAAAAAAATTTTTAAATAAGCATAGTTTTATTAATATGCTATCTATATACCTATACCTATATATTGTATCTATAATATCTAAAATATATGAAATGTATGACCTAAACACTATAGTCCCAAAGTAAATAAAAATTTTAAGGGGATAAACATAAAATTTATTTTAAAATAAAACTCATAATAGTACTATAATTACTACCCAAAAGCTGCCCAATAATTATTTTAAAATATTTCTTGTAAATGGATTGACACATATGAGGGGGAAGGGTAATATGGCCAATATTGAGGTTTTCTACAGAGATAAGAGGGAAGCTTTCATTTCTAAGGCAAGCATTTAGGGTGAGAAATAATGAAACAACATATTACAGAGCCTGTCTGTCCTACTGCTGCAATTGCACTTGTTACATAAGCTAACAAATATTTTGCTTCCTCTCACTACTAATTCTAATTCAAAGGAATTGTTCTTGACATTTAATGTTTTAATGAGTCTGAGAGTATTTAATCCTTTTCTTTCATTTATCCTTATTATAAACCACTCATATAGTTGCTACCATATGCACAGAAAGATTACTTACTTTTATCAATTATAAGACACATAAGAAGATAAAAGATTTGTCTAACCTCATTGAAATATTTTTAAAATGATATGCAACTCCTGTTTAGAAATGTCTCATAAGTCTCCTAAGTTTTCACTATAAACAGAAGGTAGACTCTTGAAAAGAAAAAGCTATTCCACATCTTCATGAAATATAACAGTGTAGGTGAGTGACACAAACTGATTTTGGCACATGGGAGAGATAATAAGAATCAAAGAACCTATTAATTAGTGTAGATTAAAAACTTATCTAAGTGAAAAGGAACTGAAAACGCATTTGTCAAGACACCACTTAAGTAATAACTGATGAAAAAACAAAAAATAGCATCAGTGTTGCATGCTCAAATATTTAGAAGTGAAATGTCATAAAATCTACCACTTACTTTCAAATGGTATATGTACGTGTAGATAGATCAATAGATAGACAGATAACACAAATATGGTAAAATACTAACACTTGTTTCATCTAGGGTAGAAGACATTATACGAGGGGTCTTCAAAAAGTTCATGGAAAGATCCATATTATCTTTTAATTCTATTTTTCTACCAATGAACTCTTTGAAGTATCCTTGTATTATTTGTTTAATTTTTCTATATGTTTGAAATTTTTATAGTAAACATTTGGAGAAAAACACAACAGCATCTTTTGGGAGTGCTAGCAATATGATGACGCAGGCATTTTTATTACCAGAAATCAGCCCTTGGTCACAGTCACAGATACTCAAGAGACCACAACTGGATCACAATTTCATCTTGAGAGGCAACCATCTAAGTTGTTGTTTTTTATACTTTCAGTGGTACAAACTATTCTCCCGATGAAACTTTATATCAAAACCCAATATATAAAAAAGATGAAAGTAAAGCTATACTGATAGAACAACAGTAGCTAAAGATTTGACCTGTTTTCACATCTCTTATTACCAGCCAATCAAGTCAATAAACATATTCTTGGTGCTCTGTTAGGCACTGTAGAAGATATTAAAATAAAAAATTTTAAAGTTGCTGAAATACTTAAATCAAATAAAAAATTCAAATGACCTTCAGAATCCAGAAATATTAGAACTAGAAATGACCAAGATATTACCTGTACAGTGTTTCCTTTTACTAGGGCTAAAACAGGTAAAGACTTGCCTACAATGACACAGCAAATAGCAGAAATAGTAGATTCCAGGTGTCCCGACTTAACACCAACTGCTTTCATTTACACCATACAGTATTACCACTGAGTTGTACATAGGCGTTTAGGGGCCCATTTATAATAAACCTCTTGCTTTAAGATATAACTAAATGGTAAGGCCTAGCAAGGACAAAATTCTAAGAAAGGATCTAGAAAGTAGGGTTTTATTCTGTTTATGCCTGTAGCGAGGTTTGCTGCTATCGCCCTCTAAGAACCACTAAGAGATTTCCCCACTTGAGAATGCATGGCCTCTCCAAAGGCATTCTGCCACCCATCCCACTTGAGGATTTAATTTGCTATTTTTATCTAAAGAAGGGACACAAGCTAATTTACTCTGAATCAATTCATAATTTACTTTTTACCTAAGCTGTGGGTAAAGAATAAGGCGGCTTCAACATTTTGGGACAAAACTCCTTTGACAAAAGTTGAAAAGAACTGAGCTCTCAGTCATTTTAATGTTTAGTAACAATAGACATTTTACACGGGGTCTTTGAAAAGTTCTTTAAAAGGTTTGTATTATCTTTTAATTCTATTTTTCCATGAACTTTTTGAAGTATCCTCATATACTTATCTGAACATTTAGAGCAGTGATACCTAGTATAGGGCAACCTATAGCTTTCCAAGCTCATTAATTTCTATTACAGTATTCTATCATACTAGATTCTACAGGAAATACAATTGTCCTATGACCAATTTTGTTAATGATGACTGCAATGGAGCTCCAGTCAAGAAATGAGTGTCATTGATCTAAAGGCTATTAAACAGCTCAAATTAAATTCAAATGTAGCACCAAATCCAACCAAAACTATGCAATATATTTAATGAATAGATGCCTAAACTCATTTTAAAATAACGCATGCCTAAATTCAAAGTATAATTTCAATGAAAGAATACCTTGAATAGCTGGGGGACAGATAATCAGCGTCTGTTGAAAAGCATCACCACAACCAAATTGAGCAGTTCCCGCCTGCAGAGGTATTCCATGATGCACAACTGAATGAGCAGATGTGGTTAATGCCTGAAACAATCGGTGTACAGCTCATTATACAGAGACATCTTCTAGTTGCTACATACATGCTATATAAGCAGAATTCCAACACATTTCTTGAAATCATAACTCTACAAATAAAAATGGATCCAGAAAATGAGAACAAAAACAAGCTGACCAAACTAAAATTTAAAAACTGATTGTGCCATAGAAGGGCAGGTTAAAGATATTAAGAGAATTAAAGAGGAAAGGAAAAAAATGAATTTGAGTAGATATGTTCCAGTTGTTACCCTGAAATTTTAGAGATTTAACAGAGGCCATAGAAAGACCTCACCAACACTGTACCTTCTAACAGCCAACACGAAACTTCTGTATACTTCAAAAGCAAAAATGAGCAACCATTAAAAAAAAAGGGGGGGGGGGCTAGCCGGTTAGCTCACGTGGTTAGAACATGGTGCTGATAACACCCAAGGTAAAGGGTTCGAATCCCCATGCCAGTCCATCATCCAAAAAAAAAAAGAAGATATTAAGTTATTAATTACAATAAGTTCTTACCTGACTTCTTAATGTTCCTATTTTAGTGAAATTTGCCGTCAGAGTAGCAGTACTGCTTGAAGCAACTGGTCTTAAAAATGAAGTTTTATTGTGATTATTTGTGTCACACGAATTTGGGTGGGACTTACAAATATCCATAATATGAAAACAGGACCTTACACTGCAAAAGAAAAAGTAAAAGGTATTGTAATATTATTTTAAATGCTTAAAGTGGTTGAAAATTAATGCATATAACTTCATTAACAAAATAAAAAATTATTTCCAGAAGAAAAGAATTCTATGATTTGCAATTAATCTGCTTGTTTCCAACACTATTTCTAACATTTAAATACTATTTCTAACAGGAATAGTATATTCCTGTTAGAAAATACTATTTCTAACAGGAAATCCTACCCAAAAAAGTTGAATTTCAAAGAAAATAAAAGTATATATTATACCTGCAATATTTTTTTAAGACAGCAAGGCAATAGTACACAATAATTTGGTAAACACACAATAATTTTTTATGATTCCCTAACCTAAATAATTTTTCCTAAATTTCTAGATCTCCACACCATAAATTAATGGTACCAAGTATGTGGCCATCATGCTGTTTTCAAAATAATTGTGTATAGAAACCATTAAGACGTTTAAGTATTGGGGGAGAAAATGTAATTGGGCTTTATAAAAATATCAACTTTTAGAATAATTCTTCATTTAATATTCTTAATATATTACAGAGAGCTGTTTTAAGTCACTTATTTTACTCTCTTCATCCCATAAAAAAAGAGGTCTGGGGCTAAAAGAATTCACAAGATTTGCCTAAGGTAATTCTGATAAGGCCTTGGAATTCGAGCATATATTCTTCTCTACTAACCCATTAAAAAAAACCTCCTTTCCTTCCACAATGCAGAGGAGAAAATGAGGAAAAAAAGAAAGCAAAAGGTATGAAGGAAAATGGAAAATGAAGCTTGTAGGACTCAAAAGAGGATAGACTCTAAGGTCTATGAAAAGTGAAATGTTAACATTCCCTTTTATGTATGCCTGGTTATTAAGGTAAGAATGTCATGTAAAAACAAAACCATGGGGCTGGCTGGTTAGCTCAGTTAGTAAGAGTGTGGTGCTGACAACACTGACGTCCAGGGTTTGATCCGTGTTGCAGCCAGGTGCCATAACAAAAAAAAAAGGAAACAAAAAAATTTTAAAAAGAAACAGTCTTATTTTCAGTATAGTACTGTGGTGAAAGAACATTAGACTGCAATTCAGATTTGTGTTCTAGTTCTACTCTACCACTTACTAATATATATGAACTTGGCTGAATTAGTTTAACCTCTTTTGATTCAGTTTACTTATATTTAATGAAGAAATTAAATCATTTTTCTAACATACTGATTTTCAACAGACCTAGTATTATTATTTTTTCCCAAACCACTATAAAAGATTTTAAAATAACATACTGGTTACTATGAGGGAAATCTAGAAGATGTTTCATATTAACAAAAGGATGGTTCAGAGTCTCAGCTGGAGTGATTCTTAAATCTGCATCAATCAGCAACATTTTCTTCAACAGACTAACAAATTCTCTTCTATCAGCTTTCTCAGCCAAAAGATCACTTCCTTCTAAATCCATCACTGTGTTCACCTAAGAAATGAAAATTTCAAGCCATCAACTAAAAATAAGCCATGGAGAGTAGTACATGTTAAAGTCTCACAGTTAAAAATAAAAATTGTAACACAGGAAAGAACAGGGAACCACAATTATTTTGAAACAAGAAAAATTGAGATTAAAGAATCCTCCAAATGTTTTGAGGTATCAAATAAGATTCAAAGCAGGGGAAAAAAAAACTTTTTAAATTAAACAAATATCCATTTCTAATGAGATATGGGGAAAAGAAATCTGTTTTCTAGTATTTTTCCTTTTAAAGCAAATACTGTTTACTAAATAACAGGATATGTAAATTAAAAATTTGATAAAGACAAATGTGATATAGTTCCTGAAAGGCTGAAAACTTAGAATCAGTCTATACATCTGTTTGAGAACTTAAAAACAGCAAGTACTCTATAGTCATTTAGAAAATGAGTAACATGGTTTGGCCCTCTTGGCATTCAAGTTTACCATCTTAAGCAAATGTGACTGTGGTACTCACATGCGCTATATCTTCCAGATTGTTGAATATGTACTTTCTGGCTTCTTTAGACTTCATTCCTGTCTCTGCCTCATGCTCTTCCAGTGTCTTATCGCATGTATCAAAGAGGAAAAATAATATATTATTACCTACAAGTTGTAAATTTCTATTTCTTTAATTCTGGCACATTTAGTCTAATATACTGAATATCCTAAGGAAATTAGACAATTAGTAGTAGTTTCAAAAGAGTAACTGTCAAAAATACATTTTTTAAAGTATTAAAAAAAAAAGAGCTTGGTTCAGGCCAAGAAAAATATTACATATATAACAAGTCCTTAAAATAACTAATTATAAAATTAATCATTGAGGATTTACTGATCCGCCAAAGGCTTTTAGCATACTTAGGATACGTAGAAGGTGCTTAGATTCAGTCCCTGTATTATAAACCTTAATAATGTAGAACTGAGTAGGGAAGATAAGCACATACTACAAATGAAGTTATATACATAAAAGTTTCAAAAACCATTTAAGATGAGTTAATAATTATGTTGTTAGGTTACAGAATGACCTAAGTCATTCTGAGAGGGCTCTTTTCTTAAAGAAGGAAGATTCAAAGATGAAAATTCAGGGGCTGGCCAGTTAGCTCAGTTGTTTAGAGTACAGTCTTGTAACACCAAGGTCAAAGGTTGGGATCCCGATACCAGCCAACTGCCCCCAAAAAAGAAAACTCAAAAGAAAAAAGAAATACAATAGTCATGGAAGGTACTATTCATGCATAAGAGGCATCTCACAAAACTGTTTTTCTAAATTTTTTTTTTAATGAATTACCTTTAATCTCCACCCAGAATGAGACATATCTGTTTCTCTGCAAAAAAATCTTGTGGATTTCGTACCCACATTTAACAACTGTTCTCCTGGTAAACCTTGAGTCTGAGAAATGTATCGAATCTGAAAAGTAATTTACAAAAAAGTTTATTCTTTCATACAATAGGCATTAATTGGACATATATCAGACATTAGCCAGATGTTAGGTCAAGAATGAAAAGACATAGTCTGTCCCTTCATGTCTAAGTATAGATGAGAGGATGAAGCCAGAGGAGAAATGGTCTGAATTAAGTGATTGAGTGGGCATTAGCCAGATGTTAGGTCAAGAATGAAAAGACATAGTCTGTCCCTTCATGTCTAAGTATAAATGAGAGGATGAAGCCAGAGGAGAAATGGTCTGAATTAAGTGATTGAGTGGGGAGAAGAAGGAGTGGATTCAAGAGAGATTCAGATTGATAAAGACTGGGTGAGTTATTACTGTGAAAGTTTGGAGGGGATACTTCTATGAGTCACTGGCATATTTGTAGTTGTGTCTGTAGAGGAAGAGACCTAGGTGTAGATGAGCTCTTCCAAGGAAAATACTACAACCCTCAAGCCTCAGGGCTCTCTTACTTCCTTCAGCTCTTAGCTCAAATATCACCTTATTCATGAGGCCTTCCACGACCCACCAATAAATAACAGCAAGCTCTGACCTTTACAGCACCCCCATTGTCCTGACTGCATTTTTCTCTACCTTACTCTTTACCATGGATATTCTATAGCATTACTTTCCATTTTCTTACCCCACTCTCCCCATTCTTAGTAGAATCTTAAATTCCACCATGAAAAGGACTTTGTTTTGTTTATTTAAATATCTCCAGCACCCATGACCATGCCTGGTAGATAGGAGACCCTCAAATACTGGTTCACCCATTTAATGATTGGGTAGAATAGGGAATAAACAGAAGCTTAAAAAAGAGAGAAATCTCTGCGGGCTAAAATGGTCTTTCCATACATTCTTCTTAAGACAACTCCTCTAACCTGTATTCGAGAATGAATATAAGGCCCTTTTTATTTGCTCTACCAGTTAGTCCATCCTCTCCTGCATCTTGTATTTCTTACTATCCATGAGCTCTTTCCCCTCAGACAAAAAAAATGTTCAATATCTTCTATCCTCAAAAAAACCCCACAAAACTTCCCTTAAATATTTAAACCTCTTTTCTCACTCAGTTAAGAGCCATAAAATATAACATATCTTATTTCACTTCCCATTCACACCTCAACACAGTACAATCTGAATTTTACTCTTATCATCCTCATGACATGGCAATAAGATAAATAATGACCTGTTAATAACAGACACATTTAATGGTCACAGGTAGTCCTTTTCCAACTTTAAAACTAATGGCTATCACCTTTTTACTTAAAAACTCTGCTCCTTCAATTTCCATGACACCATTCTTTTCTGGTTCTCTTCCTATTTCTTGACACTCTTTAACTGGCTTCCTCCATTTGTTTTTCATATGACATTGCTCTCCAGAGTTTTGTCATTCTTCCTTCCTTCTCCAAGTCCCAACTGCCCACAGTTTTATCTCTAAATCTATATCTAAATCTTTATCTCTAGCTCTGGAGCTCCAGACCCAACGAATTTTGAAACTCTCCACACCTGGCTGGACTTCAGGTACATATGCTAAGTTGATTTTCCCTCAGATCTGCTAATCTTTAATGTTTCCTCCCCTGATTAACAGCAACATCATCCACCCAAATCAGAAACCTGAAATTTATGCCAGACAAGGACCTCTTCCTCATCACCCTCCCCCAACATTCAAACCGTAAAAGTGCTACCTCGTTAACAGTTTTCATAACTGTCCCCTCTTCTCCATACCTATTTCAGGTCTTCTTCAATTCTGAGTTGTACAATTTCACAAGCCTCCTAATTACTCTTACCGACTCCCTGACCATCCCAACCAGAGGTAATTACTCTCCTGTGCTACCACCACCCCTAGAATATAAAAATTTTAATGTATTTATAACATGATATTACAATTTTATTCACATTTCTATTTTTCCTACTATAGTGTGACCCTCCTTGACAACACAGTCTATATGTTTTATCCATATTTGTATCCCTGGCTTTACATGAAATTTATAAGAAATTTTACATGAAATGATAACGAAAATCTCCACATTACAAATTAGCTTCATTTCATTAAAGTGCTGCACCTTCCCCACCTCCCACCCACTAAGTAGCTAACTTCCTTATTTTCAGGAAACAAAGTGGAACGTAAAAGACTAAGAGTTCAGTGCCTAGATGTTGCATCAGATAGGAAAGCTATCAACAGTTCAATTTCAATAAACATAACACAGCTTCGATTATGTGTTAGATGCTAAAGATATGCAGATGAATTAAACATGGTGCCAATCTTCACAAGCATGTAATTCAGTAGATTAGATAAATATTTAGGCACATAATTTGCAATTAAGCTAGTAAGTGTCACTGTGAAGAAAACAAAGTGCTAAAAGAGCACAGAGAATAGAATAATTAATGTACCTGAGAAGTTGGGATGGCACTTGCAAAACAAAACATAACACAATAAAGTGGCAGGTGAAGCTCTGAGTTTATTTTGGCCCTGAGTTTATTACTGGTCATAATGACTGCCCGGTCTTTTGAAGGAAAAATGCTCCATCTGTCACCCCTAATGTATGAAATGTGCGACCCTTTGCCTCCCCCATCTCCTGTGGAAGAAGAGTGGAGACCTGACTCACAAGCAATTAATTCATAAGTTGGCCTTGTGAACTCAACTAGACATAAGCTAAGCAAATCAGATTTACATTGTCAGAAATGTGAACTAAGAAATACCAATTACTGTTGGGAAATGAGCTGAATGAAGGGGTTATGAGTAGATCTGGAGTTTGATGGCTATGAAACCTAACCAAAGGTAGCAGTGACCAGAAACTGGGAGTAGCAAGTTAGGATCAGAACAGATAAAAGCACTTGAAGAGCAGCTAAGTCACACTGATGGTCAAGTACCAGAATGAAGTTCTACCAACTCCTATTAATTCCTCTAGCATTGCCTTGATTCCAAAAGTACCTTCTGCTCCAAACTTCACAAAACCTCGTAATATCATAGTTCCATTCTTGGATTTTTGTGATAGTCCACATATATAAATAAATGTCCCCTTACTTGAGCCAGCTTGAATGGGTCTCTTTGCAATCCCAATAGCCTGACAAAAATAGAAATCTTAGAAGAGTTTTTTTTTTTCTTCCGGGATTGAAATAGTAAACTATATTTTTCTTACATAAGACTTGAAATTACCAAATATAATTTGAATATAAATTCAGGCTTTTAGCTGAATTTATATTCAAATACAAATTCTGAGAAAGATTCTACATAAACTCCAACAAACATTTTAGAAAAGCAATCAACATTTACCAAGTAAATATTGTCTATCCATCCATTAAAATATTACTTAATGCCCTAGAATACTTTTGATATTTCCCTGATAAATATAAGCTAAGTTCTGTAAATAGAACACTAATAAGACAGTATATCTACAATTAAGACAGGAAGAGATCCAAGAACAGTATCAATTGGTGGCATGGCCTTCTCTAAACTCACTACTAAATACACACTGTAAATAGAACACTAATAAGACAGTATATCTACAATTAAGACAGGAAGAGATCCAAGAACGGTATCAATTGGTGGCATGGCCTTCTCTAAACTCACTACTAAATACACAAATGTGTATGAATGGAAATTAAATTCCATATAAGAAAATATGACACATGTTAAATTCCCAACACGGCCAGAGCCTCATTACAGAATGTAAATTTCAAAGAGGAAATTGCATTAGAAAAGCTTTAAGAGACGATAAAGATGATTAAAGGGCTAGAATACAAACCCCATAATAAAGAAGTAAAATAATTTAAATATTTTTTCATGGTGACTCAAATTTGGCTCTTAAGACTATAATAATTACAGTTCTATGGTTAAGAACTTTTTTCACCTACTTTGTAAACATAAAAAAACTTACATTGTACTAAAAGTTTAAGTAAAGATTAGACATAAGACATATCAACAAAAGTTAAGAAAGAGATGTTACAACCTATTTCATAAGAAGTCTTTACTTTGGTAAATGTTCCATGTGCACTTGAAAAGCATGTATTCTGCAATGTGGGTTGTACTGTTGATTGTAGTCAGCTATAACTGTATCATTAGGTCAACTTAGTAAATCGTATTTAAATCTACATTCTTACTGATAATTTTCTATCTACTTGTTCTCTCAATTACTGAAAGAAATATGATAAAATCTCTAATTATGATTGTGGGTGTGTCTATTTCTCCTTTTGGTTCTGTCAATTTTAGATTTATATTATTTTGAATATATTACGAGAGGTATAAAATATAAAATTGTTGTATGCTCATGTTGAATTGAATTTTCCAAGCTGGCTGAGAGCTTCCCCTCTTTATAAATAATAGTGATGTATCTATAATGTAGAAGCACTCCTGTTGTAAAAGGCAATCATTAGGGGCCGGCCCAGTGGCGCACTGCTATAGTGCGCCGCTTGGGAGTGCAGCGGCGCTCCCGCCGAGGGTTCGGATCCCACATACAGACCGGTTCCCGCTCACTGGCTGAGCGAGGTGCGGGCGCAACACCGAGGGTTGCGATCCCGTTGCCGGTCCCGGTCCGGTCCGGGCGCGACACTGAGGGTTGCGATCCGTTGCCGGACACCAAAAAGAAAAAAATAAATAAATAAATAAAAATAAAAGGCAATCATTAATAAAAGCAAAACAAAAAGAAAAGAATATCTTCTATAACATAAATTCTGAGAGATAAATATCTGTACACAATGTTATCATAGGACAAAATGATAAATTAGCATGAGCTGCTGGCTCCTGGGAAGGAGCCCAGGAGGAACCCAAAGCTGGGGCTAGAACACCAATGGAGGTTGAGGAATCGGAGAAACAACACAAATACTGTAAAAACCCTCTTCATGTGATGGCATATTGGCAGTCATGGGGTGGGAGTGGAGTCCAGAAGAAGGCCAGAGCCAGAGAATGAGGATAGACTACTGCAGGGTTTAGTTGGGCCCTTTTAACTCTCCCCGCCACATGGCCTTGGAAATATCACTATCCATGATAGTGTACAGGTGGTCCATGTTAACGGCTTCTGGGTTCAGACTGCCTGTGTTAGATTCTTGGGCAAGTTATTTTATTTTTTTGGCCAACTGGCCAGTGTGGCTGTTGGGCAAGTTATTTATTTAACTTCCCCAAATCCTCATTTCCTCATCTGTAAAACAGAAGCAATAGTAATATGTACCTCATAGGGTTATTGTGAGCATTAAATGAGTTAATGTAAAGTTCCTGGCACATAAAATAAGTAAAATAGCTCAGTAAGTATTAATTAGTAATACTGTTAGCTCAGTAAGTATTAATTAGTAATACTGTTATTATTGGCCACTGCACTGCCACCATAAGAAAAAAAATTAAATTAAAAGTACCAATCCCCCAATTCAGTTGTTCAAGTATATCAAGGCAGCTGGTTACTAGAAGAGGGAACAGGGAACAGAAAGAGGCATTTTCTACTGGTGGCCCTGTCACATCCTAAATCAGGTGATCATAATCTAGGGAAATGGGGAAAATCTATGAAAATCAAACACATTAATAAATACACTAAAGTTTAAAAAAAAAAAACTTAGGCTAGCACTTTAAGAGAAGCAAAAAAAAGCACCTTGGAGTCCCAAACCAATTTAGGACTTAAAAACAAAGGCAAAAACAACTTAGAAAATTAGGAATAGAGGGGAGCTCTGTTATCTTGAAAACAGACATTTATCAAAGCCTATACAGCAAACATCATACTGGAAAATGAGTATAAAGTGTCTCTAAGATTGGGACCAAAACAAGGATACCCACACCAGCACTCCCATTCATTTGTATTCAAATATCTGGGGAACTAACTTTTAAAACACTAAACTGATAACTGTCAAACCACTGATGCTATATGCTAGTGACTTCTTTCCAATCCATTTGGAATTAAAGTAGTATACATTCTAAAAATATTGTTAGGCTGGCCGGTTAGCTCACTCAGAGCATGGTTCTGATAACAGCAAGGTCAAGGGTTCAGATCCCCATACCAGCCAGCCACAAAAAAAAGAAAAAGAAAGAAAAAAGAAAAGAAAAATATTGTTAATCTGGATAAAATAATACCTGTTCCAAGATTCTTTTTTAAAAGAAATCTATTATAGAATTCAGAAAAATTGGGTTTTGGTCAAGGCTTTGTCTTTAAAATTACAATTGTGACTTTGGACAAGTCAATTGATTTTTCTGAGCCTCAGTTTCCTCCTTTATAAAATGGAAGGGGGGGACAGTAACTAGATAATCTCTGGAGTCCTTTTCAGTGCGAACATCAGTTGTCCAGGACTAGACATGGGAAGTCCTAATCCAGAGTGTAATAGCAAATCAATTTGAAATTGCCACTAGATGGTGTCCTGCTCCGGGGTGCTATGCATGCCCATGCCATAAATTACAATAAAGGAAACCAAAGGTATATTTCTTGCATTTGACCACTGCCTCAGTACTTCAGCAGCTAAGGTATTATGGGACTCTACAATTAGATTACGATCTCTTGGGGCCGGCCCGGTGGCGCACTGCTACAGTGCGCCGCTTGGGAAGCGCAGCAGCGCTCCCACCGAGGGGTCGGATCCCACATACAGACCAGCCGCTCACTGGCTGAGCGAGGTGCGGGGGCAACACCAAGGGTTGCGATCCCGTTGCCGGTCCCGGTCCGGTACGGGCGCGACACTGAGGGTTGCGATCCGTTGCCGGTCACGAAAAAAGACAAAAAAGGAAAAAAAAAAAAAAAAGATTACGATCTCTTGGGGCCGGCCCGGTGGCGCACTGCTACAGTGCGCCGCTTGGGAAGCGCAGCAGCGCTCCCACCGAGGGGTCGGATCCCACATACAGACCAGCCGCTCACTGGCTGAGCGAGGTGCGGGGGCAACACCAAGGGTTGCGATCCCGTTGCCGGTCCCGGTCCGGTACGGGCGCGACACTGAGGGTTGCGATCCGTTGCCGGTCACGAAAAAAGACAAAAAAGGAAAAAAAAAAAAAAAAAAAAAGATTACGATCTCTTTCAGAACTGGCAATAATAGTCTAGCATCTCCATCAAAGTTAGTAGTTGGGTAAAAAGCTGAAGGAAGTTAGGATGAATGGAAAATTTTATATAAACTGTCTTTTAAGAGGTATCCTGAACATGGAGGAGGGAAGGTAGTGAATACAGAAAATCTGACCTAAAAAAGAAGGTTCAGGGTAGAAAATCATCAGAAGATAAGAGTTTAAAGTCAATGTTAACATCTAATCTAATAATTAATATTAAATGATTTTTAGAGTCACCTCAGTAATATTTAAGTCACCCAAATTAATAACCTCTCTTATTCCTTTTGAGATAGAAAACTAAGCCCTGAAAATCAGAATAAAGGCAGAACACGTTATATGATTATGTCATGTATGCTTTAAAATGTTTCTACTTTTTCTTGCTTAAAAGCTAAATAGTGTATCATCTAAATAAAAAGTACATTTATCCACTGAGACAATTACAGAAAGACAAAATTAATGTAATAACTCTGTTAATTTTGACTAACATTTTCCATTAAAATATGAGTTGAGTATATATCTGTCTAATAAGGGAGATGCTAAAAGAATAATGAATAAGGTGAAAATTTCTCCAAAAAAGAATCTTGGTATTAAAAATCAAGACACTAGCAAACAACGTTATCTAATAGCTTAGAGAGGCTAATGAACCTACCTGAAAATTACCATGAAAAGTGCATTTAACGTAATTTGCTGGATTCTACTGACAATCATTAAAAGTGCTAAACTACACTTTCAGCACCATTCACAAACCACTGAAAAGACTGAAGAAGGTTCACATGACAGAGGTACTTAACACTAATAATGGCTATTGGTTTAAGATCAAAAGTTAGGATGCCTTTTAGGAGGTTTTACTCCTTGGGAGGGGCTGACATTTCATACATCATCAAGTCTGTCACCAAAGCAAAGCACACTCATTTAAATGGACACAATCTAGGCCTTTTTATGTCTATAATATAAAAATGTGATGCAAAAAATTCTCCCAAGAATTTTACAAAACTGATTTTGGGGGCGTATAAATTGTAACTTTGTTTATGAAAACTTGCTTCAGCATTATAAAAGAGTTTTTAAAATCAAGTACTAATTTTGAGATCTTGAACTTAATTTCTATAAGACCCCAAGTTTTGCCACTTTATTTTTAAAAGATTTTCATATGTATTAAATATCTGCAGCCATGCATTCCTATAAATCTATTATTATTCTTTACTTTCTACCATTCTACTAGATTACCATGACAGTTCTATTACCTGATCATACTCCAAGGCTCCTGGGTAGAGCGGCCATCCGAGGAATAATTCTGCAATCACACATCCCAATGACCACATGTCTATGGCTTCACAAAATGGCAACCCCAATATAATTTCTGGAGCTCTGAAATTTAAAAAAAAAGAGGGGGTTCCTTTAAAATTACATGATTTCATCTGATATTCTAAGAAAAGTTAGTAAAACGACAGAGGGATCATGTTCTATTTATAATAACTCTTCCACTCTTTCAGAACTCTTTGAAACCTCGCCATAATCTTGAATTAAGCTGAAAAGGACACTATTAGTAAAACATCACTATGCAGTCTCATTACCATAATCCTTTTCCCTTATAAAGAGTTTTATTAACATACATTTTTTAAAAAAGAAAAAACACATAGATCTTATTTCTGAGACTACAGCAGGTTAGAAATAACACACTAGAAAGAGAATTGGCAAACTAATAAATACATGCACTATGACATTAACAGAACTGAAAACGAGACATTGATAAGACCAAAACAAAGCAAAACAAAAACCCCAAAGGCTAAAAGTAAATATTACTTCAGAACATAATAATAAATATTCACATAATTGGAGCCATTAGTCAACCAAAAGAGACAAAACTAAGTTCAATGTATTCTGTTTTAAAAGGCAGAAAAGTATAAGAAACAGCAAAACAGTTAAAAAGCATTTCAGCACTTAACAGTCTTTGGATATTTGGAAAATGTACTCCATAAAATATATCATTGCCAGATAAATTCCTCTGATACTTCAAATCGATTTCCCATGAGAAGATTAAAATCCTAAGAAAGTTTCCACGTACAGCTGTGTAATTCCAAAGGAAGTCACACACATCATAGTTATCCTAGATTTGTGTCTGCATGTGTGCACGTGTTTTTAATTTTAAAACAATCTCAATCTTACAGAAGTTGCAAGAATGGTACAATCAATATTTGTTTTCTTAAACCACTGAAAATAATTTTCCAAATTACTGTATACTTTATATTTCCTACAAACAAGAATATTCTCCTACATAACCACAATATAATCATCAAAATCAGGAAATGAACACTGATACATCTCTACCATCTAAGCCTCAGGCTGCATTCAAGTTTGGCCAACTTTACTTACAGTGTCCCTCTTTGGCAAAAGTATCCAACTCAGAATCATACATTGCATTTAGTTGTCATATCTTTTTTTCAATATGGAATCGTTCCTCAGTCTTTCCTTGATTTCCAGGACCTTGGCATAAGGTATTACGGATCAGTTATTTGTAGAAATGTCCCTCAGTGTGGGTTTGTTTGATGTTTCATCATAATCAGATTCAGGTTATAAATCTTTGAGAGGAATATCACAGAAGTGATGTTTTCTCATTATATTCTATGAGGTAGCACGTAATTTTGATATGTTCCATTACTAATAATTTTCACTTTGATCACTTGATTAATGTGATGTCTGCTATATTTCTTCACTATTAACTTCCTCCACTATTAACGTCCTCCTTTTCCCTCTGTAATTAAGAATTGTGGGGTTTCAATTTGAAACTATGTAAGTAATACTTTTCTTATCAAACTTTCAATTTATTCATTTATTTACCTTTTTGAGTACAGATCAATGGATTCATATATTCAATAGGTTACAATCCATTACTGCAATTACTTATTTTGATACTCAAATTTTTCCAGTCAGAACTCCCTCAAACTTTCTTTTGACATGTCCACATCACTCTTTGATTATTTCTTTGCTTTCTGACACAGCAAAATATTCCAGGCTCACCTTGTTCTTTCCCTGCTCCAGCCGCAGAAGTAGCCATTTCTCCAAGGATCCCTGATTTCTTTTAGTGGAGAATAGTACTTTAATACCAAGATCAAGGAGACATATATCCTCATTACTGTTGGGATGGTTCCCAGGCATTCTCGGTATACATATACAGTTAAACAGAATAAACCTTCTGTTCATTTCTTAACTGAGAGTACCCGTTGTCATTATCTACTAAAGCAGTGTTTCTCAATCTTGGCTGCACATTACAATCACTTGAACCTGGTCACACCCTGTACCAATCAAACCAGAAACCCTGGGGATGGGACTTAGGAATTAGTATTTTTTAAAGCTCCAAGGGTGGTTTCAACATATAGCCAAAGTTGGCCAACCCACCCTACCCCGCCTGCACAGAAGGCAGGACTCTGTGCTGCTGCTACCGGGGAGGCCTTGAACATCATCTGCAGAGGTGGACCACAGCAGCCACCACTGCAGCTTCTATTGCTGCAAGGACAGCTTGCTACCACAGTAACATCCACAACCACGGTGCAGGTGGCCCACTGCTCATCCGATTTCATCCACACAAGGAGTCACTCAAGGAGCTTGGAAAGAGGAAGAAGTCTTTCTCCTCAAAGTCCACTAGAGTAATAGAAGAAGCAACTGATCTACCGGACGACCAGAAATCAATGTAGAGACACCAGAAATACAAAAAAACAAAAGCACAGAAAATATGTCACCCCCAAAGGAATTTAGTAATTCTTGAGTACCAGATCCTACAGAACAGAAAACCCCTGAAATGACTGACAAGGAACTGAGTAACTGTCTTAGAAAACTCAATGAGATAAGAGAGGACTCAGACAACACAATGAAATGAGAAAAAATATCCAGGATATGAAGAAGGAAATTTACCAAGTGATTAATACATTAAAAAAGGATGTAGCAGAACTCCTGGAACTGAGATATGCATTCAACGAAATAAAAAACAGAACCAAGAGCTTAAGTAGCAGATTGGAGCAAGCAGAAGAAAAAATTTCCACACTCAAAGATGGTCTTTATGAAATAACCTAAGTGGACAAAAAAAGGAAAAAAATTTTTTAAAGGATAAAGAAAGTCTAAGAGAGCTAGCAGACAACCTTATGTAACCTTCAGTTGCTCCAAATCATGGGTGCTCCAGAAGGGGAGGAGAAAGGTAAATGCATTGAAAATCTATTCAGTGAAATAATAATGGAAAACATCCCAGGTATAGGGAGAGACAGATCTTCAGATCCAGGAAGCACAAAGATCTCCAAACAGATTCAATCCAAAAAGATCTTGTCCAAGACACATTATAGTCAAACTGGCAAAACTCAAAGACAAAGAAAGAATCCGAAAAGCTGCAAGAGAAAAGTGTCAACTCACTTACAATGGAGCACCCATCAGACTAACAGCAGACTTCTCAACTGAAACTCTATAGGTAAGAAGAAAATGGGATGACATATTTGAAATACTAAAAGAAAAAAATTGCCAGCCAAGAATACTATACCCAGCAAGCTATCCTTCAGAAATGAGGGGAAAATAGTATATTTAACAGACAAACAAAAATTACAGGAGTTCATCACCACATGACCAGCTCTGCAAAGGAATTCTCAAGGGAGTCCTATATGTGGCTTCCAAAAAACAATAATCACTACCACAAGTACACAAGAAAGAACAAAACCCACTGGTAAAACACAAATGCAAATGAGAAAGAAAGAAAGAAACTAAATCTTACCACCTCAAAAAAACCAACAAACATTGATGACAAATAGTAAAAAGGGAAAAGAGGAACAAAAGATATTAAAACATCTGAACAAATGCCATGAGTAAGACAATATCTCTCAATAACAACCCTAAAAGTAAATGGATTAAACTCCACAATGAAGACACAGACTGATGGACTGGATCAAAAAGCTAGATCCAACTATATGCTGTCTTCAAGAGATTCACCTCACCTGTAAAGATGTACACAACTAATAGTTACAAGATGGAAAAAGAAACACCATGCAAATGGAAACCAAGAACGAGAAGATGTAGCTATTCTTATATTGGATAAAACAGACTTTAAACCAAAAACCATAAAAAGAGACAAAAAAAGCCACTATATAATGATAAACAGATCTATCCAGCAAAAAGACATATTATAAATACATATGCACCCAACACTGGAGCACCTAGATATATAAAGCAAACACTATTAGACCTAAAGAAAGAGACAGACCCCAATATAATAATAGTGGGGGACCTGAACACCCTTCTCTCATCATTGCACAGATCTTCCAGGCAACAAATCAACTGAGAAACACAGGATTTAAACTATTCTTTAGACCAATTGGATCTGGCAGATATCTATAGAACATCTTATCCAACAACTATAGAATATATATTCTTCTCATCAACACATGGAACATTCTCCATGACAGACCACATGTTAGGTCACAAATCAAGTCTCGATAACTTTTTAAAAAGTTGAAATCATCTCAAGTATTTTTTCAGACCACAACAGATTAAAACTAGAAATCAGTAACAAGTGAAACTCAGGACTATACAAATACATGAAAATTAAACAGCAGGCTGCTGAATGACCTATGGGTCCAAAAAGAAATTAAATAGGAAGTCAAAAAATTTCTAGAAACCTGTGAAAATAAAGACACATTATATCAAAACCTGTGGGATTCTGCAAAAGCAGTACTAAGAAGGAAGTTTATAGCAATTAATGCTTATATCAAAAATACAGAAAGATTTCAAGTAAACAACCTAATGCTACACCTCTAAGAACTAGAAAAACAAAAACAATCCAATCCCAAAGTTAGTTGATGGAAAGAAATAATTAAGATCAGAGCAGGACTAAATGATATAGAGAACCTAAAAACAATACAAAAGATCAATGAAACAAAAAGTTGGTTTTCTGAGAAGATAAACAAAATAGACAAACCATTGCCTAGGTTATTAACAAAAAAAGAGAGAGACAACCCAAATTACAAAAATCGGAAATGGAAAAGGAGATATTAAAACACATACCACAGAAATACAAAATAATTATTAGAGAACATTACAAACAACTATACACCAACAAATTTGAAAACCTGGAGGAAACGGTTAAATTTCTGGACACATACAAACTACCAAGACTGAACCAAGAAGAAACAGAAAACCTGAACAGATCAATAACAAGCAATGAGACTGAATCAATAATCGGCAGTCTCCCAACAAAGAAAAGCCCAAGACTAGACAGCTTTACTGCTGAATCCTAGAAACCTGTAAAGAGGATTTAATACCAATTCTCTTCAAACTATTCCAAAAAATTGAAACAGAGGCCACTCTCCATTCTATGAGGCCAGCATCACCTTGA